AAATCCCAAAATGAGTCTCAGCAGGTTTTGAACCCAAATTTTTACCAACAGTAAACACGCCACACTCCCAATCACTGAGCACGGACGAGTTACTGACAGTGGGAAAAACGGCAATTTATTATAAAGATTTCAAGAAACACATTTAAAGACTAGTGGATGAAACTGAAAAATGAGTATCGTTTTTCAGTAAGCACAGTCATTTGGATCCACAGATTTAATGAAGTGGCATTTCAACTACAACAGCCTTTAAAACAAACTTACCTTTGAACTAGACATTAAGCTGTTTATATCATAAACTGTTAAAACTAGGAGTTTCAAAAATAATGAGGCCTTTTTAATCATGTGGCTCTCACTAAAAGAAAACATTTTTAGAAAGTATTTTATTTCCAAATAGACAAAAAATATTATTTTGCTTCATCTTATTTTCCTACTTTTGCCCTTATGTATATTGGTATAGTAGATAAACAGTAATTTAAAAATACCGACGTGTGTGCACATGCACACTCGTGGGGGGTGCTCTCTGGCGTGCAGTCAGGTGACTGGTGTACGTGGGGTTCTGTTTCACGCTATTGTCGATACCCTTAGAACAAACTTCTCCAAACCCAAGAAAATAGTAACTTTATTCTCTTCTAGTTTTTATAACTTAATTGCTTTTGGTGAATTGATATAGTAGGAATCAATTTAATTTTTTCTAGTTATACCAGCATGGCCAGAATTATTTCAAAAGCCACCTTTAATGTACTCGAAACTCTTAAAAGCACTTGATTCCATTTTTTAAACTACTTTCCATTAACTTATTTTTATACCAGTGTAAGAATCTAACTGCACTAAAAAAAAAAAAAAAAAAATGTTATTTTTTGGTCCAAGTTCCTTTTTTCTCCTTTCAATGAATATTTTACTATTTTCATCCGTTTACACTTCCATGTGAATTTTTAAGTCATATATTTAAAACACACACAAAATAAAATAGTTTTAAAAGCCATTTTTGTGCAGGTCCTTTCGTAACACCTTCACCTAATGGGTTAATCTGCATGTTTGCTTTTTCACTTACTTCCCCACATTGTTAAGCAATCTTCCACAAGACCATTTTCAACGCCATTATACGGGCATATTGTAATTTAATTAATCCCCTCTTGTTGGGCATTTTGGGTGTTCTAATTTTTTAAATTGAGGTAAAAATGACATTAACGTTAGTTTCAGGTGTACATTATGGATTTTTAATTTATATTAAGATACTCTGAGATTGGCTTTGCACCGAATTTACAATATTAACTCAAGAACTGACGTGCTTAAAATGGTGAAAGTGTTCCTTTTACCACGTGCTCATAAGCCCCTGTGCTCCCCTCTGCTCATCCCTCTACCCCACTCCCAAGAAAACCGTGATCTTGAATGTTGTCATTCTCTTTAGTTTTACTGCTTACGAATCCCTAAACAAGCAAGTTTTTCCTGTTTTTGAACTTTACATAAAGGCACCCATGGTGACTATTTTTCCAACTTGCTTTGACTTGCTATGCTGATGGGGAAAGCTCTACACGGCCCTCACTGACTGCGCTCTAGAATTCCACTGCACACGTGTACTTCATTCATTCATTCATTCATTATGCTGTAGATAGGCACTGGGCTCCCTCCTCCCCTCCTCTTTGCTCATCACAAGTTAATAGCAGTGTGACCACTCCCGTACACGTGTCCTGGGTGTACACACCCGCACGGGTTTCTCTAAGAGCATAAACCTTGGGCTGTAAGGTATACCTGTGCTCAGCTTCACTGAACAGTTTTCCCAGGTGGCAGTGCCAACTCACACAGCAACAGTAGCAGAGGAAAGTTCCTGTTGTTATACTCTCTCCCACTGTTGGTATTTTCTGACTTTTTGCTGCCTATTTGGTGGCTAGGAAAAGGCATTTCTTTATGGTTTCGATAGGTGCTTCGATGTGCAACCCACAAAGTTGAACATCTTTTCATATTTATGAGTCATTTCTTTTTCTTCTTCTATGAAATGCCTGCTTGTGTTTTCTGCCACTTTTTCCCCGAGATGTTTTTGTTACAGATTTGCACTCGAGTGCTCTTTAACAGCTACGTACATACTGCGGTTATTTGTATCTTATTCTAGTTTGGGCTTATTTTTCACTCCATGTCAATGCAACCAATTATCTTTTACGGATTTGCACTTTCTACCTCGTTTACAAAATCCTTTACTCCTCCTTCCCCAAAGGCATAAAAATATTCTTCTGGATTGTCTTCTAAGTTTTATAGATTTTACTTTCCTATGTAAATCCTTAATCCACCTGGGACTGACTTTTGTGTCTGGTGTAAGGTAGAGGTCCAATTCGTTCTTTTCTTTTGTAAAGAATTACTGACGCCTCCTTTAAACATAATCCATCTTCCTCCCCACTGATCTGCAATGACTGCTGCCCTTTAAAAAATCAACTTCCCATACAAGAGTGGGTTTCTGAGCTCTTTATTCCTGTTCATTCATCGACTTGTAATCTCTATCAATTCCACATTGTTTTAGCCAGTATATTTTATAGTAAGTTTTATAATCTGGTAATGTTAGTTCTCCTCACACTTAATTCTTTTTTAGGAAGGTCTTGGATATCCTTGGCCCTTTGTTCTTCCATTTGTATTTTGGGATCACCTTGTCAAGTACCATGATGAAAGCCATGGGGACTTTTTAACTGGAATTACATTAACCTATTAACCAATTTGTAGAAAGAGTTGAAACCTAGATGATCTTATCCATCTCTTCATATATTTAGGTCAGTAAAGGTGTTTTTTTTTAAAAAAAAATAATCATTTTCTCATTAAAAGGCTTACATACCATTTATTATGATTTATTCTTAATTACTTTATATTTTTTTCCTACTGTAAATTTTCTTATGTTTAAAACATTTAAAAGACATTATTGCTTGCAGTTGGTGCATGAAAATGTAACTGACGTTTGTGTACTGATCCTGTTCCAGCAACTTTGATAAACTCTTAAGTCTTCTAATTTGCCTTGTATATTCTTTGGATTTTCATATAAAATCTGATCATACAACATTGACCTGTTAATAGATGTCACATTAATTGATTTCCTAATATTAACCAATTTGCATTCCTGATATAAATCCAATTTGGTCATCATTTGTTATACTTTAAATACGATCTTAATTTGGTTTGCAAAAATGCTTTTCTTATTGGAGGGTACAAAAGGACAATATACGTGTATATCTCTCTCTCCTCAGATCAAATTTATTAGCTGTGCTATTTAAATCTCCTACGCCCTTAATGACAATGGTTTTGCCTTCTGTATGGCCTATTAATTAACGGCAGAGGTGTTAAAATGCCTGTTACATCGGGAGGTGAATCTACTCTTTCTGTAGTTTTATGTGTTTTGAGGTATATTATTAGTTGCTTAGGTGCAGAATTAAGAAGTTTAGAACTGTTATATCCTTCTGGTGAATTAAGCCCATTGCCATTTGTAGAGGCCCTATCACTAGCAATCTGGCGGTGGAGGGATGGGGTGGCGGGGAGAGCTTAATATTAATATAGGGAAACCGAAATTAAGAAAAGTAACCTACCCAAGAACATACAACTAGTTAAGCTGAGACTTAAACTTTTACTCTCAGATTCTATGTATATGACATTCTACTAAACCCTGTTTCTTGAAATTTAAATGTTTTAGAATTTTGGACTGAGTAATAGGCCAGTAGAGCAAATAAATTAAACATACATAACCATGTAACAAAGAACTGGCTCTAGTAGATACGTTTTATACTCAGTTAAACAAAATGCTAATAGAAGGAAGAGGATTTAAATAGCTCCCGACTTGGCTGGGGAAAAAAGAGCTGAAGAAGAAAACTGTCGGTTGATTTAAATGCACAGAAAAAGAAAATATAAAGCCACCGAATCCAGCTCTGTGTGGTAATCGAAAAGTACCATTACAACACAGCTTAGGTTACAGAAGAGAAGAGGATGAGAACTGACATTCTGGGCACACTGTAGGAAAGGACACTTGTAAAGAGACAGCAAAAGAAACTAAAATTGTAAAGTATGATTACAAAAAAAACCTTAGGGGATATTACTAATTTCATAGCAAGAAAACACAAAGGCTATTTTTTTTTTAAAGCATGGTATAATCAATGCAAAAAACAAAAACAAACAAACAAACAAACAAAACCCAAGACAGAAAGTTTTGACTAAAGGTCCACAATGTACCAGTACTGAAAAAGGAACAGCTACATATATGTACATATGTACACACACTGTATATGTACAGTTAAATACACGCGCGTGCACAGCGCGCACACACACTCTGTTTACTACTGGTACAGTGGTCAAGATGGACACTCACCCTGAGGGCTAACTGGCAGAACAGACCTGTGCTGAGTGTGGTTATCATCTGCGAGGCACGAATGTACTATGAACAAAATCAGAATGTTCTGTATTATAACAAAGTTCCAGTGAGCCAGGTACCAACATAACAAGGCCAAGGACATCTACACAAGGTTTATTTCATTAACCACAATGTTTTAGAGTGATGGTTCATACTCTAATACAGAAGGACTGATTCAAAACTATCAAGAGTTAAAAGTGAAAGCCAAAGTCGGTGGCTTTGAATACCCGGTCAGTAAGAGTTTCATTCACCATACTGTTTTTCTGGGATCAATAAAATCCGATGCACAGAACACCTTGTTCTAAGAGCTGCCATGCTTTCCAAGAAATGAGCACCACCAGAGGCTAGATTTCTGCGTTTCATCCTCGCTCTGGCTGTGCTGGTGGGGGGCAAAGCCTCTCGCCTGCACTTAACCTTCTATTTATTCATAAGCATTTCCATTGCCAGCCATAAATCCCCACAACTTCACATTTGAATAATTTCTCCTGGATTGCATGGTGGTAATATTGACAAGCGGGACTAATGAGAGTAATTAAACTGCCATCTGCTTTAAAAAAACATGTCCTTCTAGGAGAATATCCACAGTCTTATTGCATTTAGTACACAGTCACAACATTGAAATGACATGTGGGAATCAATACAAAATATTTATTTTTTTCAAACCACAGAATTCACCCCAGAGCCACACTATAAATTTCCCAGAATTATAAGAATTAACATTTTTCTAAACAATCCAGTCCAACCAGAAATGAAGATAATTTCCATCCAGTATGGGTACAATATATACTAGGGTCCTCTGATTAGCATTTTAATTCTCCCACAGCCACTCCATCAACATAAGCAGAAATCGTATGTGTGCTTGTGCCACTCAGCTCCGAAAAGAGCTTCAAAACAGGGTCTTGGCCAGTGGAGGAGAGAAAGTGTCACAATGAATGACTTAGTTAATAAACAGTGGGGACAGAAGAGGAATCGCTTCCCTTGGAAAAAAATAGGGGTCCTTTCACATATTCTGGTGGCTGGAAGCTGGGGCAAAGACCATCAGGGCATGATAGTAATAGGAAAGCCATTTCTCCGCCAACTACCACGACCTCTATTTTAACTTGACAAATGTGAACTTCATCTTATGCAATGTTCTTGAAAACAGCGATCACAACCAAAAAGGTCCTAGAACCCTCTTACAGGTATCAGTCAGGGGAGTCACATTCCGATCATAAATTTTACAGTCTCCTTAAGAGGCCCAGGAGTAAAGTAAACGTGGTACTCTGAAGCTCGATGACACACAATAAAAAAATCAACTCAAAACATCCAATGACGACTGGATAGCTAAGGTAGGTTTTTTGTGTTAGTTTTTAGTTGTAAAGTTTTTTTAATATGTCAGATTAGTGTATATTCATAAAACAATGTTCAGTTATTTTAATAATAGCTGCTTATTAAACAACTGACTTTTAGCTTAAGGACAACTCTTGCATAATAATCATGGAAATAAATGTGATAAAATGGCAAACACACAGAAGAAAATACAGCCAGCCTCAATAAGACGACAAATCTGGAAGGGTTACTCTGGGAGGTTAAGCAGGCTGATTTAAATACTAGGACGCAAGTGTCCCTGCTCACTTCATATCCGCAGGCACCGGTCGTGTTGGCCAGGTCACCACGGCCTCCGCTAGCACGCGTGCGCGGGCCACCGCTCTGAAGTTCTCCACTTGTGCTGAAGGACTCTCAAATCCCTTCTTCGGTCAGTACAGAATATTGCGAGGTGATGCATGTGCAAACTCTTCCTGAGGAATTCTTTACGTGTGCAAAAATGTGCAACCCGACAAAAAGCATAACGCAGAGCAAGGGGCGTGGCGGCGGGGCGGGGCTGCGGCGCTGGGGACGCACGTGCAGCGTTGACGGCCACGGGCACCCATTCTTCTGCAAGCTCACTCACAAACTGGTTTTCATCTACACCCCAAAGACACGGAGGGGAACTGCCTCAAACTTGTAAAGGGGACAGGAGAAAAAGAGGAACTTTTCCACAAAATGTAATAATGTCCAAGTCATGCGTCCAGGTTTGAGTTTCTCTCACTAACTCTGTCTACGAACCATGAGGTTTGAGTCACTACACCCGATTCTGCTTTCTGTCCCACAGGAAACAAAGCAGTAGCTCCTGTTGGGCTAGAGTGCAGCTGTGAGAACAGGGGACATAAGATGGCCCTGTTACTGAAGATTCAGGCCGACCTAAAAAAAAGTACCATTCTCTCAAAACAAGATCATCTATTTATTCTTCTACACGTCACTCTTTTAAGGTGACTGAGCTGGCTTTCTTTTGGAGGGTCAAGGCTCAGGCTGCATATACACACCAGCACTTTGCAGCCAAATACACTGCATGTACAGTTCTCTGTCTTCAGCAACTTCACTCCACAAAAGCCAGTACTGAACTACGGGTGGAAAAACTATATACTGCACTGGCAAGATGAATACAAGTAAACGAGAGAAGAAAATACTTTCTGGCAAACAGTGCTTAGTCAATACAAGATGGAGGACAAATCTTGTTTCCTCTCATGGTGCGAAGATTTTGTTAGGAATCCCAATTAAATTAGCAAGGTGAATTTTGGCTTGAAATAAAGAAATAGATTCTTCACACTGCAATGTATCTCAGGGGGTAAAAACAAGTAACCACCGGGTCACACGCACTAGGAAAAGGAGTATGTTCCTTCTGCAGTTCGTGCCTTCCCATCACGGCTTTGCAGGACCAAGCCCTAACCCACAGCTGGCTGCCATCACTGTGCAAAAATTTAGAGAAACTAGATTTTGCAAACTTTGCCCACTTTTTGTTAACACAAAGATAATAATAAAAAGAAGACAATATACAATATTTCTCCATTAACTTAATGCAAAAACATCCGAAGATTTTAATGCCAATTCACATCATAATACAATGCTTTTATAGGGAAAGTTCCATTATTAGCCAAAAAACGAATAATCTCTCCCAGAAAAAGCATTTGAGTATATTATTTAAATACTGAATAATTCATCCACATTTAAAGAAACATTCCAATTTTATTCCTTTCAGAAATATTATTAAAACCACCCAGGAGAAATTTCAGTTGCAGGTGTTACTTATAAGCCTGCAGCAAGCATTCCATTGAAAAAAGTAAAATTTAGAATTCATGATAAAATAGAATTTGTCCTTGAAACTAGAATGTTACTGGTGTAGCAAATCAAATCATATAGGCCCAGTGAGGGCCTGTATATATCCTTACAGTAATTCAGTGTTTATCATATAATCCAAGATGCTCACAGAGTTAAATGAGTCTGATTCAAGTCCCGCTAAAGCCACCAACCGTGGTTGATAAGTACTTAAAAAAATAAATCTGGCAACCTTTATTTTACTTCTTTGAATAATAATTTTACAAATATAGAACTTCTATTAGATGACTTACTTGCTCCCAAGATCACACTTCTAACTCTCCCACCAGCCCACTCTCCCAAAAAAGACAAACTAAATTGGCAGAGGCACCTCTTAGGGAAAACCTGCAACCCAGAAGTGTGATAGGATCTCTGATGTCTTCTTCTTCTGCTCTCTCTGAAGTAAATATTAGTCTGCCATAGCCGAATGAACTCAAGCATATGCTCAATTTAGAATCAAGCAAAACTGAGAAAAAAATTTTTTCACTTGCCGTAGTTTTCTATCTTTCTTTGCCTTTCAACAACAACTAGAATAATCTTCAGTCTTTATAGGGAACTGAACAGCACCGTAGGTAGAGAGACAGAAAGCAGAGCTCTGCCAACACAGTTGAAAGGGAGCCTTAAAACAGCAGTGCTACTTCTCTGTTACACTCAAACGCGATGTTTCAAAGATGCAGAGTGCAGACTTTTTTAAGTACTTATCTTACTCGTTTAAAATGAAATGGATCAGGAATCCTACACACTGATTATATTTGGATTTAATAACTGTATCTGCTTCCTAGAGCATCACAGGAACCAGCTTCACTGCTGGATGATTCTCAACAGTATTACAGGGGGAGTATTACAACAGTATTACTGCTGAAGTGCTGGCCGCCCCGACACTAGCGTGACGCCAACGCCACAGCACTGGTGACAGCATGGTAAGTGATGGAGGGAATGGAAAGGTTCTACGCGAGTTGGTCCCCAACGTTAACGCAAACATGCCATGGTGGGGCGGGGGGAAACCTTACTAGTGTGCAACTTGTTTCTATTTCCCCCACTTATTTTAGCAACCTGCTGTAAAGTCACACCTGCCATGCTGACAGGCTAGTCCTTCCTTGATACCATAAACTTTTTCAGGAAGCGTTTGTGAGTTTGATAACAGGGTCACAGAGTTGCAAAGTGCACAAAGCTCAAGGCACAGAGTAGAAAAAAGTTGTGAACTGAGAGGGGGAGTTACAGCAAAAGCAGGGTTAGAATTTCCCTTTAACAAGACTTTCTAATGCTAAACAAAGACCAACTCTTTCAAAGGGGTTTGTTTTGGTTATGGGTGAAAAATACTGGACTGTTAACGATCTGCTCGATTAGAAAGCAAAAGGTATCCTTATGTGTGAAACCAATATACTGAAGTGCCAAGTCCACAAATGAACAAAACAAGTGCTTTAAAAAAAAAGTTCTTCTGCTCTTATATTTTTGGAGGAAGCTGCTGATTTGGGCTGCCGGATTTCACTTAGCAATGGTCACTTTTCCAGATGCTTATTCCTCACGGAATCTGCAGATAAATTCATTAAAAGATTGCCCCATTTCAAAATCATCCCCAAGTCTAGCAGCAACTGACTGTTTTTTTTGTTGTTGTTTTTTGTTTGTTAGTTTTTTGGTTTTTTTTTTTTTTTTTAATTACAAACCAAAATAAGAAGTCCAACATCCTCTTCCAAGAACAGCTTTGTGGCAGAGCTCCTGAGTGGAGGACCCCGCTGTGCTCTGAATACAGTCTCTGCAGCTCCAGTGTGTCCTTGTTTCAGGAAGGAAAGTACATTCAAGACATTCACTATCTGTACCCTCTGGAACCTGCACACGCTGACGAGCTGTCTGAAAAAAATCATCAGAACAGGAGAAAGTATGAATAGCAGACGGCATTTGATAACGCTAGGTATCTGCTATTTAATACATTATTTCTCACCCACCTCCCAATCCCCCAAAAAGAGGATTTGAAAACACACACACACACACATACACACGTGTCAAAACCATGTGGTCTGCATAAAGTGAAAGGGGGCTAGAGCATCAGGAGCTGAGACAGGGGCATTCTCCCATCCTAAGAGAAACTAAAGAGTCTGGTAGCCTCCTGACAACTGCCTAGGAATCACTGCCACCAGCTGGACTTCACAGTGGCCACAGCTTGCAGAGTAATCTGACCTTGATCACACACAGTGCCTAATGAGACCACCATCAAGAACACTACGGATTTCATTATACTCACCACACAGTCACCGCCAGTGGCTACCTTACATCACAAAACCATCAAAGGTGGTAAGGAACTTCATTACTTACTATAAGCCAACTCATCCCCAGCTCTCTTGCGGGACTGGTCACCTCTGGGGATTAAAAACAAGAAGAGGGAGTCAACAGGACTGACTGACATCTTCACATACAAAAACAGGAGAAATGACTTGACATAACTGATAATGGAACTATAGCAGATATTTCCATTCTAACCAAATAACCTATTTTAAAATGACATTAAACTTAATCAGTAGCTGAGTCATTTATAACCTGAATACTCTTAGCTAAAGACTGCTGTCTTTTAAATATAGAAAGCTATTAAATGAAGGATTATCTACAAAGATGGTTTACACTGGGTTCTAGAAATAGGTTCAGACAAAAATGTCTTTGAAGATTAAACTGGGTTCTGCTATCAATATTCCTAGTGACCTTCATATACTAGGGCAAATTTCAAATATGAAATAGGATAATTCAAAATCTTCCCTTAAAAGCCTATTATGAGACCAATAACTGCTTAAAGCTTTTGAAAAATCTCAGAATCTCAAGAACGTGAACAGCTTTCTTGCAGGTGGAAGATCGAGAATCTTTACATAATTAACCAGTTCATCCTCAAACACCAAAGCTTCTCGCTCCACTTTAGAGATAAGAAAACAGAGGCTCTGATTAGGTCCTACACTACCTACCAACCCTATTTTTGTCCCTCTAGCTTCTCAGACAATAATTCAGACAAATGACGAAAATGCCTGCATGATGAGTAACACCGACCGAGTCGCCAGCCTTTCCCTTCTCGGTCCCTTGGCAGCACGGACACAGCTGATCTCATCTTTCCTTGAACACCTGACTCTTCCTGGCACTTTGTCCTCGGCCACCTTTCCTCTCCTCATGTATTCTCCTTGGTCTAGAGCAGTAACCACGCCCATCCTGTGACTTGAAATACTATCCACGTGCCAGTGGGTCCCCGATTTATATCTCCAGCTCTGACTTTTCCCCTGCACCTCAGACAGAGATCCAACCGGCTCATCACCATCGCCACCTGGACGATCTACATATCCTGCAGATCTGCCAGGGCCGGAATGCGATGCTGACCCCACGCCACCCCCACCTTCCTCGGTCTGCCTCGATAAATGGCATCACGACCCACCCGGTTACTCAGGCCAAAAGCCTGGCTCATCCTTGATTCCTCTACTTCCCTCACTCTGGAGCATTTTATTCAAAAATAAACCACACTCCTCACCCACTCCATGGCTACGACTCCAATCTAAGACCCTATCATCTCTCCCCCGCACAACTGCAAGAGCCTATTAGTCCAGACAAGAGCCAGAGTGATCTTATGTAAAAGCATAAATAAGACTATTACACGCCTCCGATTAAAGCCCTTCAGTGAGTGTCCATTACAATTAAAAATCAATTCAAAAATCAAAAATCAATTCACCTTCCCAGCCCTGGGAGATATGGCTCCTGTCTACCCCTCATTTTCTGTCTCTGTTCACTGTACTTCAGCCACATCGCTTTCTTTCTGTCCCCTGCACAGTCAGAGCTTTTGTATCTACTATTCTCTCTGCCTGTGGTGCTCTTCCCCTAGTTAGCCAGTGGCTGTGTCCTTGTCATCTACACTCTGGCTGGACCGCCTCCTCCTTAGAAGGCACAACATTACCAAGTGAGCCGGAAGAGCCCCTCCCTCATGCCCTGGTCATTCAAGCTCTATCCCAGACTGTTTCATTTTCTTCCCAGCACTTATTATTATTTGAAATAACTTGTTTCTGTGTTCATTATATTCTCCTGACATTACAGCATAAGCTCCATACAAACAGGAACTTTGCCTGTCTGGTTCGCCCAGGACCTAGAAGAGTGTCTGGCACGTAGTAGAAAATAAATATCTGCTGAATTAACAAGTTAGTGAATAATTCATAAATGGCTTCTACAGATGGATTATTAAAATGCTAGCTAGCTCAAGTAATTATTTTCTGCTTTTCAAAATCTTCCAGATACTGGAGTTTCCCACTTTCTTTCTCTGGTTATGCTCGAGACTAGGAAAGGCATCTCTTGCTGGGCTAGGTGAGGAGTCTTAATGATGGGCAGGGGGACAACACACCAGATGACCTCTGAAGGGCTTTACTCTACACTGAGCATTTAGAGAAAAAGATGCACTACCTTTAGCATGAACTAGCCTTAAGCAGCCTAGAACTCTGAACAGACATTCTAATGCCACTTTTTAAACACTCCTACTGTCATTTTTTAAACACTTCTACTGTGAACACTATACCTAGACAAAGCCAGCTGAGTGTCTTATATTATTAGTTACACTAGTATCTTCATAGTAGCAGTCAACAAATACTCTGCAACATGTTAGTACTGATCAAAAAAGGAAGATATAGGATTTTATATCTGGAACCTCAACTTGTAAACACAATCTTCATTCTTAACCACCAAGTGTTAAAAAAAAAAAAAAACTAAACATGCAAAAATAACAGTAGAAAAATACAGATGTGAGAACGAATGTAAATGTGACGTTTGCAATTGGCTGCCGAAGACATGCCCTAATGTCACAGCAGGGAAGGCTGTGAGCTGTGCGCAAAACCAGACCCCTCCAACTAAACGGAGAGCCTTAATCCAGAGCAACCCGCTCAGCTAAAAGACCAACACCCCCTGTACTACAAGGTTCCATTTTGCTTCAGAAATCCAGGTAACAATTACTTAGAAAGGACTTTTTATTTGCCTTTAAAAGCTATTTGGTACGCACTTTGAAATGGACCACAGGCTGGTTTGAATAAGGATGCTCCATCCAAGGGCATGCACGTTAGCCGTTCCCAAATGAGCTTATCTTCCGAATCTAATCTTTGACAGGAACAGACACCAGCCCAACCTTCCTGACCACAATCAATTCACCTGCGCAGGTAACCGATAAAAAGAAAACGCTGCCCTCAGCTTATACGTTAATTCTAGCTTTGAAATAAGTCTACACTATATTTCCATGCACCTAAAGATCTTTTACATAAACTCCAGCTCAAATGAGAATCTGTCCATTAAATGTAAAAGAGGATATATTTTACAACATTCACACATTATTTCAAGATATTTCTAAGAATTATTCTGTGCCACCCACATTTAAGCAGTGTACTACTTATTCGGGACTCCATACATCACGTAAGTGAAACATAATCTTAAGTTACGTTTGCAAAGCTGAACAGGAATCATGTGGTTGGTTACACATAAACCATAAAATGACTCCTCATATCAGACGAGCCAGTAACAGAATTCTTGTTAGAGCCTGTACTAGATTCTCAATTTTTTTGCATCAGTGGACACCATTTCTTCCAAAACAATCTTAGGCAAATAACGATCAAAGGAGGCATGAAGTTTGGCAGGGAGGGCAGAACGCAGAGCGAGAGCTGGCAGCGCAGGAGCTGCGGGGCAGGCGGACTTCCTCTCAAGCGCTCAGTACGCGGTGCGCACGTCCTTCCCCACCGGTCTGAGCCGGCCGAGCGGTGCGCTGGAGCGAATCCGAGATTATCGTGTTGGCCACCCACCAGAATAATTTATCTCACTTTAATCCTCACGGTAAGTGTAAAATAAATTGCTAATTTAATTCTAGAAATGGCCCGATTCGGTTTGTAAAACAGACCAATTCAATTTGATTGCCTCTTGGAATACAACGTTTAAATTTCAGGCAGAAGTTTTATGAAAGAATTCCACTAAGAGAAACAAAAATTCCAATATACACCAGAACTCCACAGCACTTCCCCGACGATGACCAACCTGGCCGTGGCGGAACGGTGCCCACATTAGTCCTTCATGCGTCAAGGCAATGTTACGTGAGGCTATTTACGGAGTCACTCACTCATCTCAAGCGAATTCTACTAAGAGCTGCTCTACGCTGAGCAGGACTACACCCTGTTCTCTTATTCTGGTTCCAAAATTAGGATGAGGAAAATGTCTCCGGATGTGTTTAATAGTTAAACAGTTAAACAGTTCCACTCACTGCTCTGGAAGGCGAATTCAAGGTGTTCACAGAAATCCACAAGACCTATCTTCCTAACTGCTTCATAAAAGTAAAAGTTTTCAGAAGGCTGTTTATTTTTTTAAAAGGCATCAATAAGCTCGTCTCTAAAATTAAAAGCAGACATTCAAATAAAACGTGAATAAAAGTATAAAAGCTTCAAAATTATGGTTAGCTTAGGGGAAAAAAGGTATACTCAAATTATTCTGCATTTATTTTAAAATATTTAAGGAAACACTTTTAACTATAATTCGAAATACAGGAAGATAAAACCTGATAAAGTTACACACACACACACACACACAAAGTCTACATGTCTTAAAATTAAAAAGAAAAACCAACATCATGAGCAAAGTCAAAAGACAAACTGAAAAAAAAAAACCTGTCTTATCTCAAGCAAAAAATCAATCTCTTCACTACAGAAAGAACACCTAGAAACCAAGAAAAAGAGACTAACAATCAAACAGAAAATGAGCAAAGAACATACACAGACAGTTTATAGAAAAGGAAGTATAAACATATGAAATATGCTCAGCCTCACTCGTAACAAGAGAAAGGCAAACTGAACCACTTCTCACTAATCACGTTTCACCTGCGAGACTGGTGAAACACCAACGTTTAGCTACATACACTACAGGCGAGGCCATGACGAACGGGCACTTTCAAGCTCTGCTGGAGGAGATGCAAAATGGCTCGATCCCCTATGGAGGGCAATTTGGCAATATTAATCAGAATTACAACTCCACTTACATTTGACCCAGCAATGTCGCTTATGGGAATTTACTCTCCAGATATCCCTGGAACAGGTACAAAATTACGCATGGCATGGACAAGGAAGACCATGCTTTGCAGTGTTCTCCATAACAGTGAAAGACTGGAAATAATTCAAGTTGCCATCTCCTGGGGACTGGTTACAATTTGTGGTATATCTACATAACTGAATGTGTAAGGAAAGGAAAAATTAAGAACATATACTATGTTTGCCTGTATCTCTGTGTGTGTGTGTAAAAGAAACAGAAGAAATCATAAGAATCTAATAAAAATGATTACCCAACGGGGTGGGAGGAGATGGGGAGACAGGTGGGAGCAAACTTCTCAGTGTATAAATTTCATTCTCAATGTGTATCATTTTAATTTTTGAACCATATATTAAGTCTTCAAAAGTGAATAAGGAAAATTAGTATTGTATCAATGGCCTCATTCTATGCATGAAAATAATGCCGCTATTAGAAATATTACAGTGAATGTCAGGAAACGCCTGACCACTGGACACTGGGGAGAAAAACTAGCTGTTTATCTCCATTTCCCACGGGCCTTTCCTTCCCTAACTTGCAACAGCAAAGTCAGGTTTATAAGGCCTCTCTATTAAAAAAGCTTCATGGAGACTTCCCACTGTGAGCTGCCAGTGAGTGGGGTAAATGACCAGGGGATTACTCACTGCCCCCATGACCACATGGATGCAGATGCCACCAGGACAAAATGGGGAAAGAATGCCAATCCGTGGGCCAAGAAACGCTCTGCTTTCTTTCCCAGCCTGTGCTGAAACCAGAGACCTGGTAACAGTGATCTGGGTCGGGACTGATATTCTGAGATTTAGTTTGGCCTCAGAACCTATGAAAGTGAATGTCCATCCCCAGCTCTAGTCTAGTAAAATAAGTGAGTCACTAATATACATATGATGTGTTATTGAATTGTACACTTGAAACCTATTTGATTTGATTAACCAATGTCATCCCAATAATTTTAATTAAAAAAAATTTTTTTAAAGAAATAACTGAGTCACTACTCAATTATTTTTGTGGTCACAGCTATGTCTATAAGTGAAAAACACAGATATCTTTCTTTTCACAACTTTCTTACTTTAATCCCAGGGATTCAAGTAAGAGAAGATAGACAAAAATGCTAAGAGTAAAGATTATAAAAGTATAGGGTATTACATACTCCCCCCTTCAATGATGTATTGACATAACCCGGTGCTTTCCCATAGGGAATTTTTTAGTTAAAAATATGCACTTTGCAAGATTTTCTGGGTTATAGACGTGATATTGAATTATAAATTTTAGAGAAATTAGCAAAGTGCATATATCGAATCCAAAGGAGGCAAATTCTCTGGCCACATTATAGCGATATTCTACTTTAAAACAAACAAACAAACAAACAACAACAACAAAAAAACCCACCTAGAATGTAAGCTAAAAGTAAAAATATGAAAACAAAATCCAAAGCCTCTTTCTACCGGTTTAGTCATAAAACTAGTCATCTGCTAGTTTAGTTATAAAAGTACGTTATAACTGATTCTAAAATTTCTATAATGCCTTTCCAAATGCTCAGAATACGAGAGGATCAAAAGTTGGAAGAGCTCTTGAAGACTGCCCAGCCTAACTGCCACCCAGGGAGAAATCCCTTCTTCAAAATCCACTTAGTGCAGAGCAGCTTCTGTAAAACCAAAACCCGGCGTCAGCATTTCCACAGAGAATGACCGACCTCTCTCCCCGCAGCAGCACCGTGACTCCCGGACAGTTCCTTCCTGCTCTGTGTTCTAGGAACCTCAGCATCCCTCCCCAGCCAAAACAAACTGGCCTAAAAAAGTGGATATATTTTGTAACAAAAAGAAAAAAAAAAAAAAAACTTGCCTCATGAAACCATTCTGTATAAGTTCTCTTTGAAGTTTCTGATCTTGAGCAGCATATTCAGGAAGTTCAGATTCCAGCGCCGGAGGGAGAATGTTTGGAATAAATTTAGAAAATAGAGTTGGAGCCATCTGAACCCACTCTGCGAGGGAAGGAAAAGACTCATTAAAAAACCATATAAACAAATTAAATTAAATGGACAAGGGAAAGTTTTGTTTGCTCAAATATATTAAACCAAACTAAGGTATACTCCCCTTCTGATAAAGCACACACAAGAAGTCAAATTTCGTTTCTAAAAAGAATTTACAGTGTAAAAGAAAGCAGGTGTTTTTACATTTTACTGATGTAACAAAGTTTAATGAAAATTTCTAAAGAAGTTTTGAATAGAACTTTTCAAAAATTCTAACTATGAGGAAAAACATGAATGAGATACATGAAGAATTCTGAGGGGGAGGAGCCTTAGAAGAGGTAGTGGAAGCACTAGCCCTACTAAGCGCTAATTAAAACAACATCCTGGCCAAGAACAGAACAGTACAGGTAATAATAAGCAGACAAATAAAAAAAAGTAAGTATCACCAAAAAGGCGGGGGGGAATTGAGCATTTAATAAGTGGGCTGGAGACGACTGGTAAGTACTTTTGAAATAAAAACCTATTCTGATCCATACTAAATAACAGCAAATTAAATAAATATAACGGTAAAAGACAATAATTAAATGGTTGTTTATTAATAAAATGATAAACAATCAAGGGAATAATCTACAGAAAAACATTCAGAAATAAATAAGCAAAGAAGTCTAAGGAAAATATTTCCATCGGACATGACAAAGATGAATTAGTATTTTTATTATAAAACATTTTTACAAATCAGAAGACCAGATAAATGAGTGAAAGACAGGACTGACTAATTTACAAGAAAAATAAACAGAATAAAAGCCCTGTTAATACTCAGAAAAACTCAAGCTAAAATAAACCCAATCTCTAACCCCTACTCAATGAACACTAATTCTAAATAATGCCCACCTGCAGCAGGAGTGTGACAAAACCAGCATTGTCCTTTTGTGTTGGTGGCCCTAATTTAGCACTGTTACCCTTAAAAGATTCTTTTAATCTGGCCCTTTCAAATTTTCCCTCTTGGAAAACATCTTAGCTATATATGTCAAAACCTGTAAAATGTCAATGCTCTATTTATTCCAGCGAGCTCACTCTAAAAATTGTAATCTTGAGTAAATATAATGCTATATCTGAAAAGAATCACGCCAATGCTGTGCCATGCTGGGTCATTGGTAAGTGAAAAAAACAAATGTCCAACAGGAGAAGAGCTAAGTTAGAAACGGCAAAAAAAAACCAAAAAAACAAAAGAACAAAACCCAAGCACTGCAAATGACACAAGGACCAATCCACTCACTCCTTGTACTAATTCACGGCAAAATGTTCTCAATTGTGTTCTTCCATCTAGATCAACTCAAATATGGCTTAGAATAGGGGTCCCCAACCCCTAGGCCGCAGACCACTAGCAGTCCGTGGCCTGTTAGGAACCAGGCCACACAGCAGGAGGTGAGCGGCAGGCAAGTGTGCAGAGCTTCGTCTGTATCTGCAGCCGCTCCCCAGCGCTAGCATCACCGCCTCAGCTCCACCTCAGCTCATCAGGCATTAGATGCTTGTAGGAGCACCGGTCCCTAGTGCCAAAAAGGTTGGGGACACTGGTTTGGAAAGAGTCTCAATACAGTGTGCTCTGGGGAACCACCAACCACTCAGAGCTGGCAGGAGTCAAACATATCTGCCATTTCATGGAATTCCAGGCAGTTATTAAATAAAGATGAAGAAACAAAGAAAAGTGTATATTGAATGAAGAAGGGTAAGATGGGATGCCTGCAATTATTTTTAAGCTGAGGCTTAAAATTTTAGGCTTCTGAAGACAGAATTAAAACACATCTAAAATAGTAATAGTCAACAGAACATCCAAGGATTAGGAGCCAGGAATCTACAGTTTAAAAAACTTTCTTGGTTGATTCAGATGCATTCATTACACAAAGATCAGCACAAGAGAATCACTGCAATGAAAGAAACTTTTACATTTAAAATTCAACTTTTAAAATATTTTAACAATCTGTCAGGTGAATAAAACTGCTTTAATGAACCAGGAACATAACTGGTACTGGCAAAACATGTAAATGTCAAAATACGTTTAATAGTATCTCAGAAAATGCACAGGGTATCAAAAGGTTAGTCTGTGATAAAATTCACCTTTTCAAAAGGGCAATTCTCAAATACCGAATTCTCACTAGTATAAATCCTATTATAAGAGCTCAAACTCGGCTAAAATAGCATTTAAATAAACATGTATCTATATGCGTTTCTACCCTCAGTGATTATTTTTATTCTGCAATTTGTTTCTTATGAGAACAGCCAGAGTTTTTATGATAAAGCTGCCCACTTGGGAGGCAAAATTTAGAACTTTGTCATACTATACTTGGATGCCTTCCAAAATAAAATAAATCATTCATAACCTAGCACTAAAAGAAAATTCATGAGCCACTTTAATCACATTTAGAAAATGAAATGCAAAATTCTGAGAAACTGGGAGAAGAAAAAACGTCAGTTTGACACGTAATAAAATATTTTTGCTACTTTATATAACTATACAAATTAAAAACTTATGAATAGAGCAAGACCCAATCCAAATTTAAGTAATGTATTTAAATACTGTAGAAATCATTAAATTGTTTAAAGTAGCCTGAGAAAGAAGGTGTTTCTGATGTCACAGTCTACCCCTAGGACAGTTTTCACTTGGTTTCCATTTTAGCAAGCTAAATTCTGACAAATCTTTTAAATTAAGCAAACAATCAAGCCATCGATTAATTAAAAGAAAATAACCACTGGACCCAACTGGACAGTCATTAACAACAGTTAATGTTAGCATGCTTATTATATTATCGGGTACTGTGTTTTATTGCATTTAATCCTCAAATGACAAAAGAAATTTCACAAAAAGATAAACTAAAGCAGTCCCCCCTTACCTAGGGGGATACATTCCAAGTCCTCCAGTGGATGCCTGAAACCACAAATTGTAGCAAACCCTACATATACTGTTTTCTCCTATATGTACATACCTATGATAAAGTTTAATTTACAAATCAGGCACAGTAAGAGATTAATAACTTAGAACAGAACAAGTATAACAATACACTCTCATAAAAGTGATGTGAATGTAGTCTTTCTTTCAAAATATCTTATTGTACTGTACTCGCCTTTCTTGTGATGATGTGAGCTGATACAATGCCTATGTGATGACATGAAGTGAGGTACTCAGAATGGCATGCAATTTAAAATATGAATTATTTCTGAAATTTTCCATTTAATATTTTCATACTGCGGTTGACCACAGGTAAAAACTGTGGAAAGCGAAACCACGGATAAGGGAGACTACTATACTCTCAATAAAGCATCCCTGTTTCTAGATTGTAGAACAATGTTCTGCCCTGAGAACTTTTACAGTCTCTCTGCCATGGACATTTTTTTTAATTGGTTAGACAACTGAATGTCAAGTCTGAGGTTCTGGCTTAGAAATAGGAAGATATGTACAAAAGCATCTTGAGATTCCTTTAAACTCACAATGTTTTTATTTTCAGATAGATACACTGGGATAATTTACAAACCTCGCTTTTGAATATAGTGATCTTTGATTTTTGGTTCTACTATTCTATTATCTCTCTTCAAACTATCTTTAAGAAGTGACTGTAACTTGAGCAACATTTCTAGATTCCTTGCAAGTTACATAACAGGCCTAAGAAGATGAAGTTGTGTATGCCTGTGCATATTTGTAGTGTGAGGCAGAAACTGCATTAAAAAAAATATTAATGCCAGATACGAGATTCAGTTTTATCATTTGTGTCTCCTCCAAATTGTTTCTTATATTTCCCAAACAAGTTGGTTTTCACTAGTATAGAGAGAATTCCAAGTGAGCCCTGAGTTTACATTTCACAATGATGAGTACTTTTTTGCCGCAACAAATCCAAATACCATTAGGCCTCAGAAAACACAGAGAAACACTGTCCTCTTGATTAAGGCTGGAAAAACCATAAACAAACAAGTCCGACCCCATAAGAAATGATGTGTAAGTTTACCTGGTCTGAGAGTATACAGGCCTTTCACAATATTTGCCATAGTTGAAGGTGTGACCTGAAATGGTGTTGACTGGGCTTCTAAAAGTAAAGCTGAAATCAGAAAAAAATGGGATATAAAAATTATGTAACATTTACTGACTGTCCACGTTTCTCTTTCTATTCCTATTTCTCCCAAGACTAAAGGGTAAACAAGTGCAAGAAAAAAAGAACAGCCCAAGGGGACAAATCAAACGTTTATACGCTAAAAGAAAAAAAAAGAAATTTAAATCCAGTGCAATAGAGCTCAAACTAAGAAGTACATATGTGCAGGTCTACTGCAATTCTAATGGAAATGATTCAATTCATGGAGGTTCTGAAAACAAGTGAAGCTTTCTAATATGGTTAAGGGGTTTGTGGTACTGAGTGAGCTGACAGTGCTTCCTTAACATTAAGTCCGTGATTTGCAAGATTTATGGGGGGGCGGGGGGAATGTCCTCTACTTCTCTCAATCATTTCTCTTTCCCCCAAATCACCATGTTTGAGGCTCCTGGAATTTTTCTGAAAGACATGCTATTAATTTTAGTAACTGCAACCAGAGTCAGAAACTGACTTTCCAAAATGCTATGTACTTTTTTTCTTACTAAAGGTAAAGTCAAGAGCAATCACACTGGCTCATCCTTCTCGCTTTTGTGACTGGTAACCAGGGACACTGGCTGAATGTGACAAGTCAGTTTTCTTTTAAGTTATCTACTGCCACACAAAAACTTTATTAGATCATTTTTAAATGGATAAGAATAATTCATCTAGAAAACATCATTAACAGATACAAACAGACTGCATTATTTAGTGGATACAACAGATATACAAAGTTAAAAGAGTTCCTTTTTAATCTCTCAAAGACCTGCAATTTACTAACCAAAAAAAAAAAAAAAAGCCCCATAAAATTTAGCATAGTTTTACTCTATGCCAGGCTTGTAAAATTACGTAAGATGTTTTTTCTGCCTATGTCATTTAAAAAATGGAAACGCCATCTCACTTGGCCAACGATTTCATAGTTTCAAACTTACAATGTGAGTTACATTTGGATTTATGTGATGAAGGCCAAAGGTGCACTGTCCAAGTTTATACTTCTGAGTTTATTATCAGTAGATAGTTATAATTTTGAATGGCATAGATATATTTTCAGACATATATTAAGCACCACCATAAATGTTTTAAAATGCCATGTTCAAAAATTAATATTCTAAATTTTATGTTCTATAAGAGTCTCTTCTACTCAAGTTTCTAATTTCAATGTGTACCCGAAATCCAGGCTCTATCTATGAATCCATCTTCCTATCCTCTGACGAACTGTTTTGGCCCCCAAAAAGCCTCATTCCCAGTAACTCTTCATGTTCAATCACACATTCATTATGTGGTCAAATATACACATTTGCAAGCAACTCTTTCATAACTATAATCACCTTTGTCAAATTTGACAGCTATGAAGAAATGATGAATTCACAGACTAAATTATACAAAAATATACATGAATTAACTGAAAATAATTACATTCAGTAACAAAAGATTATTAGAGTCGAGAAGGTATAATATTTCACTAAAATCTTCTCCACTTAAAAACTCTCTTTAGGAAAACAGTGCTTAAAAGATTTTCCATTTGATCTCCCCTTTTAAGAAAAAAGAAATGGGGATTTAAAGAAGCGGTAGCTTGAGAGAGTAAAGAAAATATTAGGTATGTAACAGGTGCTAGGTATTTCACATAAATTTATTATCACAATCTTTAATTTAGAATTTGCTTTCTCACAAGCTTAACTCTCATCTTTTTTTTTTTTTTACAGATAAGAAAACTGAGGTTAAAAACAAAATAAAAAAAACAGTGAATAAGTCACCCAAAGTAGCAGAGCTAGTAGGTTACAGAAGAGGTCTGAGAATTTGTGTTTAACTCTAAATTTCAGATGATTTCTGGTTACCATGCCAGCACTGAAACGCTGATCCTATATGCAAGTGGTAGTGTGAGAGTGTTTACCCTTGGTTAGTTTTCTTCCAAAAAGTATGTAATTTAAAAAGGCAAGGATCTCCCTACAATCCCACTGATGGTTGATCATCAGTAAGTAAACAGCTTTAAAACTCGACTAGGACCTTAGAGAACTTCTAGTGCTAACTTCTTTCTGAACAGACGACATTAAAGTCTAGAGAGGTTAAGTGCCCTCCTGAAAGTCACGCAGCTTTTCGACAGCTGAGCTGGGGATGGAACCACGCTCCTCTGCTCTGTCATCTATTCCTCAGAGCCGCGAGCTCACCCGGGGGCTTCTCTTCTTTATTGAGAAGTCATTCTTGAAATCCAAACTAAAACTAAAAATACTCTTGACTTTAAAAAATTTCAAACTACAAAGGTCTGAACTAAAAGGCAGATCCTAGGGATAATCGCTGAGATGTAATTATTTAAAACTCTCTGTGCAAGCTGAGCTTTAAGTCTTCCACTGCGCCCGGACACGTCTTCTCAGGAAACGTCTACCATTAACTGACCGCGCTGTCACCGTTGCTCAGAATAATCAATACTACGGATACCTCTGATTAATGTATATCCCAGTACTTCTGCTGTTTTCAAAGTTTAATGCAAACTAAAAATTATTTTCAAAGGAAATTTTACCACCAGCCAAAAGCAGATGCCATTTCATTTTGTAAGCATGTACGTATGAAAATGATTACACCACGGAGATAGGATAGAAAACGTTATCCACAGTAAGAAGTCACTGTCTTCACTCATCAAACTGCTAGTACGGGGCATTCAGGTGCCAATTATTTACTGGCAGAGCGGGCGATCATTTTGCCCTGCTGCTTGGGTTTTAAAACATGACCCTCAAATTCTTTTGGTGCCTGCCCACTGAGAGGTGTCTGTGCCCGCTCCCCAGGACCCTGGGCTCTGCCACTGCCTGCCCAACAGGGTACAGCAAGAGTGGCACCGCGCCAGTTCCGGGCCCGGGACTTAAGCAAATGGCAGTTTCCACTTCCTACATCTTGGGACGCTCACTCTTGAAGGAAACACAAGAGAGGAACCGAAAGCCAGCACAACTCGCCAGTCATATAAGCAAGCCACCTTAGAAGTCTCCAACCTCTGATCCAGTCACATGAGCCAATGCTGAACAGAGCAGATACACACTGCCCCACCAAGCCCTGCCCAAACTGCACATGTGCGAGCGAAATAAAAGACAGTTGTTTTGAGCTACTACACTTTGGGGTGATTTGTTACACAGCAACAATAAATGAAAACACCAGCATTTCCAAAAAAATATGAAGCCACAAAAAGGAAATTACTGATGAGATTTTAGAAAATTATAGAAATTGAATGTAGTTATGTTTTGGTGGAGTGAGATGAGTAAATATAGGGAAGTATGTAACTAAAGACAAGAAATCAGTCCTTAACAGCTGTGTTTTTCTAGTCTAAAATATAATTTTAACCTCTCTGGGCCTATTTTCCCATCTGTAAAATAGAGGTAATGACTGTACTTAGAGTTATGAGAAACAAATAAGTTAATATTTGTGAAGTACATAGAACAGGTCCTACCACATAGTAAGCAGTGTGTATGTGTTTTAGAAAATCTTTACGATGACCATCCACATAACAAACACTTATAAAGAGTGCCCTGTGACAGAGCCAAAACCAATAAGGCCAGCGGCCATTTTCTGTGTCCCTTACTTTGAGCACAATGCCTGGTAATTGCTCAATAAATATCTGACAAGCTCAGTTTTGTCTAATTTGTAAAAGCTAAAGGGCCTTTTCAGTTTACTTGGAAAAGAAAAGGTGCATCTACCCTCAAGTGTAATTTTTATTGAAAATTAGATTATATAATAAAAGGAAGACGTGATCTGTTTTGTTTTTCTCACCAGATCTTGACTGTTATATTCTTTGAGTATTCTCTTTGCTTATGCCCAATAAAACTGATTTCCAAATTACTGCCAAATATAAAAACATATTTACATAACAAATAAGCTTTTCTACCAAACTGTAGCACTGTTCTAAAGAATTTTGACAAGAAAGACTCCAAAATGCTGTGCTTTATTTTACAATGAATACAAAGACAATGTCAACATCAGAGATAATACTTAAGTGGCTACAATTAATAGTTGGGACATCTCACGAGAGAGTACAAAGATTTGTGTTAACATCTGCCCAGCCTTAAAAAAAACAAAAAGTCATACTCCCAAGATTCTAGATCTCTATTCTAATTCTGGAATTTCTTAAGAACATAATGAACATATATTATCTTCATCCATACTATCTGAAAACCCTGCCTTTCTAAAATAAACTTGCTCAATATTTAATAATTCTTTCTCTTAATTCACACTAAAAAATGAAAGTGTTTGTGGTCAAGCTTACAATTCTCTTGTAAATTCTGGTAAATGTTCATTGTAGTAGAAACTATGACTCTGAGGAAAGCAAAAATTAAGTACTACAAATCCAAAATGTACCAAATTCTAAAAAATGATTTGATGATATACACTGCATAAAATGAGCTTTTAAAAAAATTTTATTTTATTATTAGTTTCAGAAAATATGAGCTTTTAAAGGATGCTGACACACTAGGTTGTAAGGACTTCCTAAACTCCACTCGGAGAGGTATATTCTTTTACAAAAGATGGGATAAGATGCCATCTACTGAGAGGGGGCGGGGGCCCAGGAACAGAGAGAGAGGAAAACCTAACTGAACTTGGCACTTTGACCTGCTTACTTAATAATCTACATTGCCACATTAAACATTTTACAAATCCCAATTCACAGAAGAGAAAAGACAGGATCAGAGGCTAAGAAGCCTGTCTAAGATAGTTAATAAAAGACAGGGTCAGTCTACAGAAGAGTTTTTGTGCTCAAGAGAGGGTTCTGCACTACCGTTTCAAAGTTATAGCATTGTGCTCCGATAGCTGCCAGTAACAAAGTTAAGGGTGAACCCCTTAACCATATTCCCCTACTGTCAGAAGGGGGATAAAAAGGTGGCAAGTATCAGGCCGGATGTGAAGGCATTGTCCAGTAACTGGGCAAAGTGGCTCCCAGCTCACTGGGTGACCTTGGAGTCACATTTTCAATTCTTCGGGTCTCTCTTTACAGAACTGGGCTTCAACACTTCCTGCTGTGTGACTCAGAAGATGTCAACACTGGAGTTTACGTGCCCATGCTCTCTGATCGAGACAACATGTATGTCACTGCTAGTGTGATCTCACTCCTGTAAGTTGAATTACTTACGCATTAGGCTGTAAATGTGCTTTTCTGCAACATGTTCCGTAAACAGCTTTATAAGGTCATCTTTTAAGTCTCTGTTAAGCTTGGTTTCGATGTAAAACTTATTCTGAAAAAAAATTATTTTTCAGTGCATCAATCAGGGGGAAATGATTAGTCTAATGAACCGAAACACTAAAAAATAAATCATTTTAGGAAATAACTCATAAAGGCATCAATTAAAACACAGAAATCCAACATCGACCAACAAAAGAAAGCCCAATCCTATTTATACGTCTTTCTGGCATGGGGTTAAAGAGCACATAAAGATAAAATGCTATGAACCGTACACCTCCAAAAGAACATGGGAAGGTACCTGACATTAACTGGACGTGGACATACAGACACATGGTCACAGGCATTAAACATGCCCTTTAAAAGTACGTCATCGTCTAAAGGCAATACCGGAATCGCTCGTGAAAGGTCCCCCATTTATCAATGATCTGGGCTGAAAGCACGCAGCACACATGAACTGGATGACTCCCCAGCACACACTCCACTTCAGGGCTTGGTCTGTCATTCAGCTTATGGCATTCCCTAGAGATGGTCTTTGGTTCAAAGGTAGACACGTGATTCAAGGTTGATAATCAGACTGAGAGAAACCTAAACTCGAGTGAAAAGCATCTTAGGTCATTTTACAACCATGAGGAGAACAAGATGAAACAGATGTTGTATACGGCAAAGACACAAAAAAGAACCTGAATCCTTGGTGACACCGTTGAACCACAGATTCAACCAACCCTGGAGACTGCCATATATTTGAAATTTTCTTATAGGAGATAATTCTTTCCCTTGTTTGCTTAACCCACTTTAAGTCATGTTTTCTGTTTCATGGAGCCAAAAGCATCCTGATTAGAATGACTGGCAAGTCAAAAAAGATTGAATTTGTTCACGTTTAAATGTTAACTCAATGTATAGAATGGAAAATACAAAGAACGTTAAGTTGCTCACTGAGTCTCACTTAATTCTTAACACAGTATTTTTCTCTTTAAAAATTATAAAAAATAATGCAAATTATAAAAAATAAGGCATGCAATAAAAAGAACTGTCCCATGGCAGACCATCTGCCCCATTCCTACAGGTCCCACTCTCCATTGGGAAAACTTTTAGATATTCTTTCTAAAATATTACTTGCGTATATGTGGACACACTTTTTTTTTCCCTAATAAAGAAGAAAACACTTGCTAATAAAATATTACACACCACGCTACATCTTGCTTTTTCACCTAATGTTCTATCTTTGGAAGATTTTCCTCTAAAATAACAGACATGTCATTATTTTTAACTGCATATTTTTCTACTGTATCTTCTATAAATTATTTAAATAATAGTCCCGTGCCGATCACAGAAATTTCTCCCAGTATTATGTTTTGTTTTTTTCTTGGTTTTTTTTTTTTTTTTCAGTGAAGTATGGCTTACAGAAAATAAATCATTTTGAAGACTGGTATTCCACATACAGTAAATTCTGTGCTGCAGAATACGGGATCAACCATTCCCTAATCTAATAAACCAGGAGAGAGTGGGACAGTGATTTCTAAGGGTCCTTCTGTTTAACAGGGACACCGGCTTTAAGATTTCGTGACTTTATATATTTAAAAGAGGGAGGGGCTGATTAACAAACAAAAGTCACAGACTACAAATTACACTCAAAGAAGGCATAATTCTCCAAATGAAAGAGCATCAGAGTAGAAGCAAATTTTATTGTTCTACTTTTTTAGATTATCGTACTTGGCTTTTATCATAAATCATGTTTTTAGATACATGTCTTAAACTCTATTTTCTGAGGACAAGAAATCTTTCTTACACATTTTGATTCTTCCACATGGCAGAAATAAATGCTAATTGGGTGGTTGCTAATATTAATGCCTGTCTATTCAGCAATGTTACTTGAAATTTTTAAACAAAAAAAAAGGGTAAATAATTCTCTATCGACACTATTGAACATTACTAAAATAGATGAATTTCCATTTCTAACATAATATATAGTAAAAGAAAAACATGCTTCACTCTCTATGCTTAGACCAATAAACCAAGCTATTTAGAAAAGAGGAAACAGCTCTCACTTACCATATATATGAAAAGAGGCACAATGCTCTGCAGTGCTCCCATATATTGTCCAAGAGCTATATTAAATCTTTCAATATAGAGATCTGGAGGGCTGGCCTGTGAGAAAGAACAAAAATATGATCATTCTGGAAAACCAGGTATAAAGACTGTCCACCACAATCAAAAAATGTAAATAGACTTAAGTTTAAGTCTAAATACTTATATATCCTGAAGTTTAGTTGAAGCATCTGTCATGTTCCAAATTCTGCCATATAAAACTGAGGATTAGTTAGCTGTCTTTAACTGTGTAACTTTACCATGTTAATTAAAAGGCTTGTTCTGTTAATGAGTAAAAAGGTACATTCACGATTAAGATAAAGGATATGGACTTTTAAATTATCACTGAATTATATAGACAGTTCCTATAGGAACCAAACTATATTTGAGCCTGGAATAGGATAAAAAAAAATTCAAGGAAGTGGTATATTCTAATATTCTATTAGAATAGCTACTGAATTTTTATAATTACCTTAGGCATGCTAATATTCTGAGTTCTACACTTAACTCGGTTGTAAACCACTTCAGTAGCCAACCAATTATAAACATTACTGGCTAGAAAGCAGGGACTCAAATGGACCACATACATCTGCAGCTCTGGAGAGCAGTAAATAAGTATAATCTATGCCAGGCACTTATCTCGTTGTTAGCAAACACCAAGTCATAAAGCCATAAAAGAGAACAACACTTCCAACTTTACTGCATGTTGTAAACTGAATTTATGTGTACTTCAAATTCATAGGCTGAAGTCCTAACCAGTGCAGCAATATTTGGAGTAAGGCAGTAATTAAGGTTAATGAGGTCATAAGAGTGAAGCCCTGATCCCACAGGATGAGCATCCTTGTAAGAACAGACGCCACAGAACTAGCTCGCTCGCTTGCTCTCACATACTCTCCCTGCACAATCAAGGCCATGTAGCACACAGCAAGAGGGTGGCCGTCTACAAGCCAGGAAGAGAGCTCTCATTGGGAAATAAATCGGCTGGCACCTTAACCTTGGACTTCCCAGCTCCAGTACTGCCAAGTCCAGCAAGTGATAAATCCCACCATGCCCAGCGTGGCCCTAGAAACAAACCTGAGTGGGAACGGTGGGAGATTGAGAAAAGAAAGAAGAGAAAGCGGGATCAGGAGGTCCACTGCCCACTGATGGTGGACAATGACCCAGCTTATTTTTTGCAAGCTGCTTTTATACAGGAACATACAATTGCTGGCTTATGCAGTTTCGTAGCAACATTGTTTCTTCTACTTTCTCCTAGACCACATTTTTCTTATGACCTTCAGCTTATCTATCTGCCGGTGGCTAGGTTTGTACCATCTTGTTCTCAGGAGGAATTTGCGGAGGCGAAGTAACCCTTGGTTGCCTTCGCAGGTTGCAAGGACCCTGTCAGCTTACAAACCGCTCTCCACCCAGCATAGTGAGAAATAACTTTCTATTGTTTGAACCACCCAGTCCGTGGTATTTTGTTACAGCGGCCCAAGCTGACTAGAACACTGTGTTTGACAAAAGTGAATCCATGTACCGTTTCGTTTTATTCTCTAAAGCTAAATTAGTTAGGTACCATTCTAATATTGAATAAGCACACAAAAGGGCAAGTAATTTGCCCAAATTTAGACTGTTAGAAAATGACAGCTCCCTGAATTCCACCTAAGAATCCACTCCTGGGCCAAGGAGTTGGGGGAATGGGCATGGTATCAAGCATCAAGCAAATAAAAATGACTCTACACATCTCATTTGTGGCAGGCAGTCTGGCAACTGGACAACGATATCAAATACAGAAATTTCATCTTGCTTTTACACAAGAATACAAAGAAATGCCACACTGAAAGATTCCTAAATATTAAATTTAAACATGTGACATAATAAAACCATTTCAGCTAAGCTGTTTTAGAAAGGTCCAATATTACTTTAAAATAAGATTTAATTCATATTTTTTTTCAGTTCTACTTACAAGCTTGAAAATGTATAGTGAACTCTCCTTACTTCTAATTCATCTTCCATTATTACTTACAGATTTGTTTGGTGCACACTAGGTGCTTTTTAAACATTTATTTGTTAGTCCTCCTAACTGCCTACACAGAATGCATGTCATTTCCATTTTTCATATGAAGAAACCAACCAGGGCTCAGAAATATTCAGTCACTTGACTATGGTCCTACAGCTAATAAGCCAGAGAGCTAAGTCTCAATCTGATTCCTTCCATCTATTTACATTCCTTTTTCAGCATCCTAAAACTTCTAGAAAAAAGTTCAAATTTCCAATTTAGAGCACACCGTTTACCTCTCTGCTTTCATCTCCTGTTCGTTCTCAAACATGCAGCCAGGCACAGCAACCACACGGAACTACCCCGCAGTTACCCAACAGTATGAGCGTGCTGTTTCAGGCCTCCGTGACTGCATTTTCTACCTGGACGCCTTTATCACCACCCCCTACCCAGACTCGCCCTGGTTAACTTCCATTCATCCTTCAAGACTTATGTTGCTTCCTCACAAACATCTAGGATTTATGGCCCTCCACCTGGGGCACCATTGCACTTAATCACTTCTCCCACTGGGTGGTCTCTGTCACTACACTTCATGTCCCTGGAGAGTAAGATCTAGGTCTTCTTTTTATATCACTAGTGCTGACCAGAGCCTGGAACATAGTAGGTATATATAAAGGCATTTCTTACAAGGATAGAGTCTTACTTAAATCTAAATCTATAAATAAATAAATCTAATCTAGCCTCATTTAAATCTTAAATTATTTTACTATTTAACAAGGTTGTATGACATTAGGCAATTCATTTAGTCCTCTGAATTCCAATTTCCATACACATAAAACAGCAAAAATATTGACTGTGCTATTTCTAAGATGTGCTTAGAATTACAGAAAATAATGTGTAAATGCTTGAAAAATGTCAAATACTATAGATGCATATGCAACAAGTGAATTCTTTTCTGAATTAACTACCCGTCTGTCTAAAGCTTCATAAAAACCCATTAACATTTTTAAAGGGATTTCTTATTAACTAAAGAAACCAGTGAAAATGGTTCCACATCATGGACAAACTTTGAACTGTAATGAACAGAAACACATGTAATATCTTTCTCTAGAGTGCTTTAAAAACCTCTGGAAATGATATTTCAGTATTCAAAGAAATAAAATTTTAAAGTATTACATGAAAAAAAATCTGAAGAGTTTTTGCATTCAAATAATTTTCCATTTTCACTAAAGGACACTTTATCTATCCAAAAGTTAAAAGTATGAACATTGATCAAAAGACACATTTAATAGCAGACAGAATAAAATTGAATTCCTTAGTTCTTTTCAAGAATTCCCAAAGCCTCAAAGGTTATGAGTAATAAAAAGTACTTTTTGTACTGAATCAAATGTCAGAACATTTACTTAGCTTTTTACTTCCATATTTCAAGCAGCACTTATTCAAAACCTTTGAAATGACAGGACTATAAATTATAACAGTCTTCTAAAATAAATCCAATCTCTTTTCGAGGAACCTAGAGAAAAAACTATTTAAAATACCTAATCAAATTATTCCTCCTTAAAACTCAAGTTCAGTATACTCTGGGCTCCACTGGGGAAATTGCTACCTATTTGATTTACATTATTTCAACATGAATGTATTTGGCTTGGGCAGTAAATGAAGTTATTTATCCCTAAAACAAACAAGCTTCATTTTCTTCTCGAAAAGAAAAAGGCGCCAGAAAAATGATCATTACAACAAACTTGCTCCAACTTCTCATAAACATAAAAGACCCAGATTCCCTGAAATTTATAACATAGTTTATAGGAGGAGTGCTCTAATTTCTTGGTTTTCTTTTTTTAGTGAGTAATGTATTCATCTGGTTTAAAATTCAAATGAGTTCAAAAGGGTTTCATTGCTAAAATAACCAACACTTCAATTCCTTTATGCCCTTCCAGAAGAATTTTATGTCTATATAAAATAATAAGTATCCCATTTATACCCTTTTCCGCACAAATGCTAATATATGATCACATTGATGTGCAATTTTTCTAAAAATGTATCTTGGAGACTGTTTTATTCTAGTGGCTCTCACACATTTTAGTCTCAGAAACAGTTTACATTCTTAAAAATAACTGAAGATTCCAAAAGCTCCTGTTTATTATGTGGGTTATGCTTATTAATATTTACCATATTAAAAATTGAAAGTGGGTTTTAAAAATATTAGTTTATCCTAAAATGACAATAAACTCATCTTATTTTAATAAATTTTAACGTTAAAATGCAATTATGTATTTTAAATGTAAATAATTATTTTCCAAAAAACTAATAAATAAGAAGAGAGGTATTATTTCTCCATTTTTGCAAGTCTCTTTAGAGTCTGGCTTATTAGAAGATAGCTGGGTTCTCCCGTCCGCTTCTGTACTGAATCAGCTGTGATGTGTTGCTTTGGTTGAAATAAATGAAGAAAATCTACTCTCCTACAGAAGCGGAGACAGCAAAAGAAGGCATATTTTAATAGCCTTTTCAGATAATTGTGAACAGTCTTCTGTGAAACTTGACTAGTGGTAGTTTCTTCAAGGTTAGCTGCAACAAGAAATCAAACTATCAATGAATTCTTTGTACTCCAGTAATTACAACCCTATCTTCCACTTTGAATGGATCTTCCACACACATTTCATATAACATCACAAATTGGTCATTTGGAAAATACTGACTCGCTGAGTTATGCAGATCTTCCAAATGTTAACACATTTCACTACGCAACATCAAAAAAATGCATCTGTTCACATCACCACCTGTCTCATCGGCAGTCTTTTTAGGTACTGGGAAGTGATCATGGTCAAGGTGGTAGATACAGGTTTTCAATAATTTTAATCTTCACTTCAAAACTCAAATTTTATCATTAGCAACAAATACTGTCAGTTGCTTTCCTTGAAGTGGCAGACTTACGTCACTGATTTTTGAGAAAATGTCTGTCAAATACCGAAGTCTAAAATAACTATAGTTTGTCATTCTTTCAAATAAAAATAATGTTCTATAGAGGGGAAAAAAAAACAGCTAGTTGAGGTCAAAACTCATATAACCACACAAGTGCTTT